ATATATATATATATATATATATATATATATCAAGATAAATCTAATCTTTTTAACAAATAATAACAAAAGAAAAATTTTTCTCTTCTCTTTTGTAATAATTGTAAAACCAATGAGAATTTAACATATTGTGTTTATTCAGCATTAAACGACAATATGTCTATTTTACAAGCTACAAGTCAATTTTACAGCTATTAAATTAAAAATAGCGATATATATTTCGCATAAAACGTGATCAAACTTTTGATAATGAATCAAGATCTATGCATCGATCGCACTAACAAAGAGAAGAAAAAATAATTAGGCAATAATTTATATATTGGTTATTTCTTTCACGTTTATCTTTTCCGTTTTTTATGATCTCTAAGGAAGTAATACCAACAACGGGTTCTATATCTATGGAAAAGTCTACCCTGACACCAAATTACGTATTTAATGTACTAAGAGTGAGATACTCGTCTGGTAATGTGGCTCGTGTTTCTCGTACATATGTATATACGAGCATGTATCGATGTATTTCTTATTTTCTCTCGCGTCCGTTCTTATAAAAATTAATATGTATTTATAAATAATGCATTTACGTATATTTATAATTTCCGATATTTCCGGCTGAAAAAATAATTTAAACTTGCTAAATTGTAATTTAAACAATTTGAAGTGTTATGCAAAAATCATTTTGTTGTTATAAAACTTAGCGTATGAAATATTTTACCTCAAATTTAGAACATTAAAAATTTTTTTAAATAATAAAATAAAAATATTAAAATGAATTGTCTGTTTGTAATGTAAAAACTTGTGAATGTGTGTGTGTTTTTTTTTGTTTATCGACACGGCAGGATAATCGAGACAATTACTATTTGTCCAAAATCTTGACAAAGTGTGGTTGTCAAGTATATTGTATAGTTATTACCATCTATATCACGCTTTCAAAAAACAACGTTCAGAAATATATATTTTTGAGAAAACCAATGTTTATATACTCACGGCACGTGTTATCTCATTCTTTAATGTCTGAATATCGTTAGTGTTTTCCCATTACAATATTTATATTTCTTAAATTCTTCGGCAAAATTCGCCAATTCAACAATTCTTTTATTGCTCATGATCATAGAATACTACCTTTTTACTCATGTTGGTAAAAAAATAAATATCCTAAATTTTATTGTGTCTAAAATAATTTCCTATATTTTGTTAACAAAAAGTATTATTTCTTGCAATTTATTTGAATTGACATACCGGAATAGTTGAAAAATATAAATAGTATGTATTTTTTATATCCGTGAGTATAAATTTATGCGATTTTTTTAAATCGAGATCGTATCGAGAGAGCTGTTTCTAGGAAAGAAAAAAAGTTATTTTGTATACACATACATTATATGTATATTACTTATATAAAATTAAATCTTTTTTTTTCAAGCTAGAAAATTGCACTAATTTTCTCTATAAAATTCATGTGTGGAACTTGCTATATAGCTAATGATTATTTGTTTCATGGATAGTTAAAAAATTTAATACACGAAATCAGCATAGATAACATTGGCTAACTTGTTTAAAAAGAAAATGTGTGAAAATAAAATCTTTTTTACTCAGTAAGCGATGTAGAAAGAAATTATGTATGCCCGTATTTATAATTATAGATCGATATCTAGAAGGAATACTGGAAATCCGCAATCGTGCGAGAGACATGTTCGTTATTCCAATAAAAATGTTGCGAATTTTATGCCTCTTCCAATTTCGCTTCGTGATCGTACGAGGGAAGCGGAATATTTGCATGACATTGAAGGTAAAATATTTCAACATTGAAAGTGACAAGATCGTTTCCTCGAAATCGCGTCACCGTATTTTTTCTTCGGAATAATAACGCATCCTGCAAGGAGGTTCAGCTAATCAACGAAGATTCATACATAGATAAGCGATGAATCGCAGATTAGTCAAACTCTTTAGCTAACTGGCTGTTTTCTTGCAATTAGATGCCGGTTCGCTTGTGCTATTTAATTTAATTACTTCCTTCCCTCAGGATTCGATCAATTAATTGTAATGTTGCCGTTAATGATTCGATCAGCCCATACGACTATTAATCCTTCAGTTTCGGTCGATTTAACTAGTCTACTCACCGCCTCGACGTAATTGTTGGCTCTCCATGGCAGTATCGCGCCAATTCGTACGTTCATCGCTTGATAATCACGATGGCTCATTGTGTAGCACCCGATTAACAATATACATTATACGTTCTAGGAATCAGTCACAGGCTGAGCCCCGTGCGAGGCGGTTTCGCATGTCACCCTTTAGGGGCTAGCCAAGTAAGTACGTAGCTGGGGTGGGGTGCGTTCATTTTCTATCCTTCGAGTTTTTACTACTGTAACATCTACTTATTTTTCTTTCTGACTTAAAAGAACAAAAGAGAGAACCGACTCAGCAAGGCATTCGTCGTACCTTTTTTATTCGCCCAGAGAAGATCGCGCTTTGTGTATCTTCCAGGCATCCTAAATCCTCGCTATCTTCCCCCTCTCGATAAAAAAACTCCGATGACCGCATCCGCAAGGTCCTCTGCTTGCAAGCACCGGTTCGAGGAAGATCGCAAAAATCTTTGCATCAGATGTACCTGTTTCGTACCTGTTTTCTCGCGTGCGAAGATGAGAGGAAGAGAACTCAGGATCTTCTACGTGATCGACCTTACCAACTACTTCGCTTCGGAGTCTTCGTCCAGGCCGCTCCAGTCTCTTGTGTCTTCCTTAAAAGAAAGAGAGTCGGCTCAGTAAGGTATCCTATGTGGGTACCTTGCTGACTGCCTTCAGAAGATCGTTTTGCGTTTTTTCCAGGCCGCTTACGTGATGCTGTTGCTGATGCTGAAGAGCGGCGCTCTGCTGCTCCTGCTGTAACTTGGCCTGTTTCTCCGCCTGCTGTTTTTTCATCATGTCTTGCTCCTCGCGTTCGCGTCTGGCTTGCTCGTTGATCTCTTTGACTGCCCTTAACTCCTTTTTCAGCTTCATCCGCCGATTTTGGAACCAGATCTTGATCTGTCGTTCCGTCAGGCAGAGGGCATGCGCGATCTCTATTCGCCGTCGTCGCGTCAGATAGTGATTAAAGTGAAACTCTTTTTCTAATTCCAGTGTTTGGAACCGCGTGTATGTCTGTCGACCTCTGCGCCTCGGACAGCCATTTGGACCTGAAAACGTTAAGAAATCTAATTTTGAGACTACTCGATAGTCTCTCAGACTTTCCGTTTCACGGCAAATTATAATATTAATATGCAAACAAATTTATATTAATAAATTTGAAAATTAAAAATTATTTTTAATATAAAATCTTTCTTCATATTCATTGACTAAATAATAGAACATAAATAAATTAAAAATTACATAAATACATTAAAAAAGCGAGATAATATAAATATATATTCCATATTTCTATAATAAAAAACAAATATCGTATATACTTTTATTTTTATGAAGCGAAAAATCTATTTCACCAAAGAACTCTGTCAAATAAGGATAATCCTTTATTTCTAATTGATGAACTCAGATACCTTTCTATACCCTACTCACAAATCTTAACTCTCTCCTTACTTTCTCTATTCAAAAAAAAAAATGCTTTTTCCTGTCGCCTTACTGTGAGGGTTAAAATACATAAAAAAGGATGAATAAAAATAGAAAGTTCCCAGGAAGCTCTTACGAAGGTTATTCACAAACCCTTTCTAATGTTGCTTTAATCGTTTAACTTTTTCCAGGAGATGTCATAAACAAGGATACAGGCGATTTAAAATTTTTTTATAGATTTTAAAGATATGAATCGAAACGCTGGTGCAATGCACAGATAAAACAGTTCGCAAGATATACATATACTTCGAAACTGTTCATACGATAGCACAAGTTAGTACTAATGTAATTAAATGAGAATACCAAAATTAATATAAAATTTAAAACTAATATAATATAATAATCATAGTTTATCATAAATAAAAGCTAATGAAACACAAATTTACTAATGATAAGTATATCTGAATGATCTCTTTACATACAATAATGCCGCTGCTGAATTTCAAACATATTTTCGTAATCAATTCAAAAGTAACTTCACTTTCAGTTGTCGCCACGGGTAAGGCGCATCTCTTTTCTGAAGATCGCTAAGAAACCGGTTTCTTAGTGCAAAGAGTGGACAACCATAATACCATCATTCGCGGAACGACGCTGAGTGGCCATATTATTGCCTCGTGATGAAGCAAATGCGTGCTACTGACCAATAAAAGATAGCAAGACTTTTCGATTCACGATTATTTTACGAGAATACGAAGATTGTATCGGCACGATAAAAAGTGAGAAAATTAATTATTATGTTGGTTAGAACTCAAAAGAATACATTTATAACAATTAGCTATGAGTGCATTAAAAGCAGAATATATTACAATATATAAGAATATATAAAAATTTAGAATTTTTATTTAATAACTGCGTAAAATGTAAATAAATCTTTCTTTATTAAAACTGTATGATTTAGTGAGATTTTTTAAAGACACTAAAGATGTCTTATTAATAAAAATTAAAAATTATAAAAAAATAGTATAAAATTATTAAAATTTTTAATTAAGATAAATTTTGAAAGGAATCTATGATTGAAGAGAACGTATCAATTAAGCTATTGCACATCCATTTCCATAAACAAATAAAAATAAAGGGTAATGACATTTTGTAGAAAACAGTAATGTGAGACTGATTAGCAAGTGATCGCAATTTACGAGTTCAAGTTATGAGTAACGTATAGATAGTATAGTACGTATAGATATAGTATACTGATTTGTTCACAGTTCGCCGAATGATATATCGAGGAATCGGATTAACTAATAGCAAAGGGAGTATTATCCTATGACAGATTTAAATGAGTGTCGCGCCGTATTTTCTATCTTCCATCATAATGATATCCGTGCTATAGCGATCAGGCAGTCGAATGACACGCACGTGCGTTATTCCCGATGCAGGATGACCCATCAAATACGTATCGCATCGGGCCGAGTAGAAAACTCTTGGAGAATGCAGAGAATGCTGATATTGAATTCAGCATGGCCGTTCTCGCCAGTGCGGTCCACAAGCCCGCGTCGGTGTACGCGTGTACCTGAATCAGCGACCACACTCACGAATTCCGCTTTTTACGTACGTGTGGTGGGACCACACGTGTCTGTATTGGTGCGAATCAACACCGTTTTTAGCGCAGCCGTGTGCGTCAGTTTGGCACACGTACGTCCGCTGCAGCCACGGGGTGGTTACCCAAGCTCGAAGGGTGGGACATAGGTTACCTTGGCAACCAGAGGGGAGATCATTCCATCCTCCTGACGGCATATCACGCGGGAGCAAGCCTAGCACAGCAGCCAGAAAACTCTTGGTTGCATCCTCTCCACCGACTCTAGGAGGGTTCCCCACGTCGGTCTTAGAAGACGGGTGAACTTGATTGCGCCCACTCCATTCGCCATAAATATGGCCCATCGGCGAAGTGCTGCTGTGCGAGCATTATCAATAATTTCGACAGAGGAAACTAATGCCGCTGTGCCAGAATTTATTCGATGAGAGTAAAGTTATGCGTTACGGTGGAAATTTACCAGAAGCCATGATACAAATATTTATTCGATAAGATTAACAAAAACGTAATATTTTTAACATAAGAAGTAAATGCAGAATATTTTTAAAGTATAATAATGTAATGCGATTAATAATCTCTCTTTTACATACATGAAAATAAAAGAAATTCAAAATTAATTTTTATGTCAAACCCATCGTAAAAAGAAATAAATTCTTGTATGGAGTATAAAAGATAGATGTCGCTTATCTTTAAAACTTTGTTAAAGTGTTAATTAACGTTTTGTCGTAAATGATTCAGGAACAAATGAATTATAGTCAATTGCCAATGATCTATTGCGATTCCACAGAAGGGCGACACGATGGGGCGGGCACATAGAAATGCGCAATCATGGATGGCAGAGGCCTGTGTCTAATTACGGTCATATACTAAGTTTAATATCTGCTTTAGATCTGCTTTAGCATGCAGCTCGGGACTTGGGGAACAATCGTGGGTATTGTGGAAGTTTGTCAGGCTATGACCACCAGTCCGTACTATTACGCATCCAGATTTAATCAAATCAACCTATTTATCATCATTTTTTTTCACATAACTATCGCAGAAATTACATTTTCCAAGAAATTAATTTTGCATTAAAAAATAATAAACGATTATATTTAATCGATGTGTCATTCATAAACACACATTAATTAATAAACCGCACATCCTCTGAATGTTTTGAAATGTCATATGGACAGCATCTGAAGATTAACTTCTAGACTATAATATTATATATACACGGAAATAGTCACAGTACAAAAAGTACTCACGCTGATGGGAGACAGTGTGTTACTCGAAAAAAATAGTACATGCCAAACTGAATGGACGTTAGACAGATTTCGTGATATCGCCAACGCACGTCCTTGACAGCACCTGCAAATCGCGAACCCTCGCGTCTAGATATGTCGTATTACGGCCCAACCCCTCTTTGTTCGACCGCCGGAGGGACCATGCGTGAGCCCCTCAGCGATCCATTCATAAATATCTCAAAACGGCTTAATTTCGCGGCGCTGCGGGCAAATAAAATCTCGAGCCGGTGAAAAATGCAGACAGTTTGCCAGATGAAGGGGAATAGGCGGGGGAGAAGGGAAGAGGGACGAGAGAGGAGATACGGCATAGCCACGACCCACGACTCGCTTGATCGCCGTCTCGGGTCACTGCAGCCTCTGCCAGAACGATAGAGTTGGAGAGGACCGGGTAGGAGGCATGTTAAAGGAAGAGGAGGGAATAGAGGTGGAATGCGACTCTGAAAGAAACAACTAAGAGAGAGAGAGAGAGTGGAAGAGATATGTAAAAGAATGAGAGGAATGGAGATTGCCAAGGAGGAAAAATGCCCACGATAACTCCGCTCCGTCCGTTCCGTCGCGATTCCAACTCCGGACGCGATTTATGCGGCTAATCCCCGCACTTTTCTTGCCCACATCTCGCCCAGTCGCCAGGTATCTGGCTGGATTGTAATTCAAGGCCATTCGCCGATTATTCAGCTACTCTCCGGCCGGTAGATACACCGTTGTTCTATCTAACACGTTCATTAAATCGCGCCTCCCTGCGCCCGGTTCGCGAGTCTCAGTGATGTTCTTGCCGCTGGTTGCAGTTATCGGGGACATAAGTCGCATGAAAAATTCGAAATGGCTGGAATCTGGACGACCGGGAGACCGAGAGACCGCGGGGGAAGCCCGCGTTAACATTTGCGAAATGTTGCACGCGGGGAATTCGCGGACTATGTTATAATTTCTATTCCGTAACCGATAACGCAGAATTCTTTTTTTCTGCCGCATGGCCACGAGAGAGGTTGTATTCCCGATGCTTATTGCCAGGCAGTCAGTACGTATCCGATACCACCGCGGAAAATGCGCTATATAAATTTTATGCGGGCTGCTGTTCGCAAGTAATTATTGTGAACGGTACACGAAAGAGGCCCCGATTAAATCTACTCTAATTTAAGAATCAATTTAAATAAAATGGTTTTGATTATATTAGGTTTGATACTTGTAATTGGGTAATTTTACAATTCGAATATATTCTTTATAAACTGCCAAGACGCTGCCCATTCAAGTGTATCAATGATACATTGCCTTTCCTCTCAGAAAGATTAATCTCCATCGCCAATACATCGTTACAAAGCGTAGCAAGAGATTTAGATTACATAACTAGACCAACCTCGGAATCAAATTAGTCGATCATTAAGAGATATTATTTCTGCACCATAAATTTTGTCGTCAAATTATTCTTAGCGTCATCATTCCTTTTATATATTCATGGAAAAAAGGTACTAGAAATCTAAATTCTCGAAAGAGATTTTAGAATTCTTATTGCTTTTTATAAAACGGATAAGATATACCGTTATATCGTTATTATTTGTTTATCATATATATGCTACTTTATGAAGATGTGATGTATTCAATTAAAAAACTTATATCGCAAAGTACTGATAAAAGAAAGTGTATTTTAAATCAATAATTTATCTTAATTTAATCAGAATCAGATGTGCTATCACAATCAGATGTGCTATCACATATAACGGATTCCGTGTATAAATCATTTGGTTTGTATCATTCCGTT